TCAAAAGATAAGAAATCGATAACAAGAAAACAACTAGAAAAACACTTAGGACGAATATAAGGGAATGGTAGATTCTAAGACTATGGGTTCAATTAACAGTTGGGTTCCTTCAAATATATCACAATTAACTATTTTCTTTATCTACCCTATAAGATGATCACAAAATTAGCCTACCGTCCCTCTCGAGATCGATAAAACCGTAGATTAAATCACATATATTAGCGTCTCCACTCAACACATGCAATTCAACTCCAATAAGATTAAAAGACCAAAAATCCTCACAACTATCTACTAATCTCTCGATTCAAGTAAACAAATTGTGTCAAATATTAAAGATCTTATATTGAATACATCTCTCGAATTATGAACAATATCATCAAACATGTAAAAGCAATGGCCAGTTGCAATTCATGAAATAAGCACGAAATATTTGAATAGGGTTCAAAAGAAAACGATCAATTATAATAAATCATCCAAAAATCCCAAACTATTAATCTACTACCATGTCTTAGAATCAAAGAAGATTAGCTACTCATGTTTGAAATCAAATACATAGACATATTCAAAATCAACATGAGAAAACAAGTTCAAAAGATAGAAAGAAAAACTAGTAAGCTTGTCGTCGATCTTCTCTTCTTCCCAATTGCTTCTCTTGCGTGTTCTCTGGCTCTCTTCCTTGCGTAATCACGTTCTCGGGCTCAAGATCAGATAAATAGGTCTTTTTATATGTCCAAAAGTCCTCTCCTAAGCGAAAAAGGTAAGCGATTAAAAACAGCCCGCGTCGCGACACGACCTGACACGCCCGTGTCACAGGTCGTGTCACGGGTCGTGTCAGGTATAGATCCTTCATTGCTGTCTGTTGAGGTGACACGGGCCCCGACACGGCCCAGCAGCCCATGTCACCACCCGTGTCAGGTACAAGTGCACTCATTCTTGGCTCGTTTCTCTCGTTTCTTCCATTCCTTTCGCCCGTGCATCGATCTATCATTCTCCCGGGGTTTTTAGGCACTCACCATGCTCCTCCAATAGCCAAAGCTCTACAAATATGTGGAAATATCTACAAAACGAGCACGTGTAATACCTTTCCAAACAAATATAGAATTTAAAGCACAAATATGCAATTTATACACCACAAATGTACCAATCAAGCTCTAAATACTATATGAATGTAGTGTAAAATCACACATGAACAGCCAGATCTACATAAATTTTAAGCAGTAAGTTTTCTTCATCAAACCTTTAGATCCGCTGCGCATAGGTTTATGTTGAATGTTTGTCCGTGATTTGTGCATATCGAGATCCTCGTGGGTTCCAACAGTTCGGTGGCCGAAGCCTCTGTTGGGGAGACATTTAGAGGTAAAAATAAGTTGGCTTCAGATGAGGCTGGTGCCTGGATTTGGGTGCTGCTGGCTACCACGTTGTTCGTAGACAAGAGTGGTAGTAGAGTGAGTCCGAAGCTCCTACATGAGGTGCTCGACGGCTTGGATGCCATTGGAGGTTACTCCTGGGGGTCGGCTACGCTGGCATATTTATACCGACAGTTAGGTATTGCCAGCAGAGGGGACTCCAAACAACTTTCCGGCTTCTTGACTTCTGCAGTCTCGGATTTACGAGTATTTCTCGGATTTCTGACCCCAGGAGGGGCGTTTACCTCTCGGACCTAACGAGTCCGCACGAGCGTGAGTGTGGAACACAGGGACGGATCATAGGTCAGAGGACCGTCTGATGTCTATCCGTCGTAAGCTGGACAGACTCACTGCCTCCAGTGTACGTTAAGTTATTTAATTTAGTTACTGGTTATTTAAAATAATATAAATATTCTTATAAATGCTTTTATGCCATTGTGAACAGGTGCAATGGACGCCATACAGCAGCTCATGGCCAGATGAGATAGAGCAGAGGACTCTTTATTGCGGACTGCTTCGGTACCGCGATATTGTCAAGCCGTACTATCCTGTACGGTTTTTGCGGCAGTTGGGGTATGTCTAGACCATCCCTCCCCCTATACAGACGCCGACCGCTGTAAACCGTGCTTGGCAGGTAGTATATATGATTATTTAGAATTTTATACACAATTAATTAGAATTTTATAATCGTGAATGATTAACTAACAATTATTACTGTGCTTGGCAGTCGAGGCTGTACAAAGTCGAGCATCCTGATGTCGCCGCAGTAAATATGTGGAACCACTTCCCGATGTCGCACACTGTCAACACCAGCTTGTGTAGGGTCGCCACAGATGATCGAGGGGAGGCCGATC